AACGCTGCACCCGCGCGGCTTGCCAACGCTGCATCCGCATGTGATTGTAAGCACGCGTGCAGGCACCTACTTCGCATGTGTGCATGTAGACAGTTACGCACGACGCGCACTGCCGCGCACATTGCGCAGGTGCCAGGTCGGCAACATGCAGACAGTTGCACATGATGAGCCACGTCGACCACGTGCTGCCACGTCGGTCGACTTCGCCACAGCAGCCTCGACGACGTTCGTGCACCTCCGTAGAACCTCGTCGAGCAGGTGACCCTGCAGATCGATGACCTTCGTCATTATCGGTCGACGACCTTCGTCGTCACTGGTCGACGACCTTCGTCAACCATCTTCGTCGACCACCTTGGTTGACGTCCTCAAATTCCGGCTCCTCATTATTCGAAATTAGGGCACATTTGCGAGGGTGCGCAGGGTCAGACGCGACCCTGCACAGATGAACAGATTGGTCGACGAACTGCTTCGTCGACCATCCTCGTCAAACTGCTTCGTCGACCATCCTCGTCGACGATGCGACAGTGGTTCCGCGCAGGTCAACGTCCATCTTCGTCGACCACCCTCGTTGTTAGTGTCAACTTCGCGGACGGTTGGCTGCACCTCCCGCGCACCCGACCACAAGGACAATGTCACCCTCTACAGATGGCCGGCTGCACCTCCTGCGCACCCGACTACAGACAACTCTGCCCAAGCGAGGGCGGGGCCAACTCCCGTCAACAACCTCAACGTTCAGTCTGCTTCCTCTCTTGATGAAGCGCGCATGGCTAGAATGAAACAGGGTGGCACCACTTGTTTGTGGTACTATCGCATCGCGGTTGTTGAAGGTTCCGTAGGCGTCAATTTCGTTGATGTGTGGATGGGGCAGCAACTGCGCTGTATGACGGTGACCAATAACACTAGTCGTAACAGACCACGCACAACTTATGTGGTCTTGCGTGGGCAAGGTTGCAGCACATTCTGGGTGGATTCATGTAGGGCGAACGCATCTTCTGCCTTGCTGGCGAAACCAGCTTCCAAGTTGTCGGGGCATGAAATGGATGGCACGTGCATTTCGTTATTCCGAAGGGACGCTGGTATTCACGACTAGTACATACTGAAACCATACATACAGGGAGAACATGAATGTTTTTCAGACGAAACCGAACCTGGTTCCCGATAAATTAGAAGAACAGGAATTTTTTTGCCTTTCTCATCAGCAAATACAAAACACAAAACAGAAATCACAAAACTCAATTTCTGCTATATCAGATAAAACGTTCAAAATAGTCCGACAATGAGACAAACACATAGAAATTTTTCTGCTAGTGAGACCCATGGCAGACAGCCTTTGCTCACTTGGTTACGACCGCTACTGTTAGTGTGCATCTCTGTTTGCGGTGTATACTATCAATAATTCAAAAGGGAAAATAAAACCTCCCCAAACTTGAGACCCTGCGTAAAGAGGCATGTTTTACATGAGTGAGGGTGCAGAAGTTACGTAGCATAATGGAAAATGTTTTGACGCGTATATCGTCCTGTAATCCACGTCCGCCCTGCCATGCCGGTCGCATCACACAGGGTTAGCATGGATTCCTCCCCTCGAGCTATCTCACAGCACCAGCCTCAGAACGGCCAGCCACGCACGCTCGGCTTGTCGCGTCATAGCTACCATACGTCCTAAGCAGGTTGCCGATGGTCAGTGAAATATTCCTCGGAGCTCTTTAGGTTTTTCTTACCCGCGAAGCTGCAAATGACCTCGCTGAGTCGAGCAAGCTACGGTCTTGCTCAGCAATTTGAAGCGAGGAGCTGGAAGCAGATCATGCTGATGACGCCAATGAGTCGCGGATCACGATGCTAAGGAAAAGGCGGCAAGAGCGCGATTCTTAGAACGGATTACTTGCACATCGTGGCCACTACTGACCATCGTGATTTGTTAGCCTGCTGACGGTTGCGATCATTCCGCCACTATATCCCTTTTGCGTCGTGCGATCGCATCGCGTAGCGAATTTTAGCGACGTGATCGTTGTCTTTAGAGTTAGGAATAATGGGAACGGAATGCAAAGAACGGCTAGCAAGTACGCTAAGTGAAGACGAGATTCCTTTGGAAGACAGAAACGCTTTCAAGGCCCATGCGGATTTTCTCGCGGTACGTCATTGCAGACTGCATACCATGTCCGCTTATGACTTACGTATGCTCACTATGCACATTCCCATGGTTGGTGGGATATGGCTTGCTTCCGTATCAGCATGACGCCATGCTTCCAGGTAACCAACCTGTTCGCAAGCTCACTCTCCAGGCTTCTTTGTGATTTACCATTTCCCGTGCAAGCGCAGAGACGACATCATCAGCAGCGGTCGACTTGGCGGCAAATAGTCACATGGGTGAACGGCAAGATTACCCTGTATAATGTGACCTTTGGCCTTTACATCCTGGACTGGTGGGAGGTCCTCCTAGTCAGTATCCTCTCAGCGGCCAAGCAGCCCTTTCAACCCACTCGAACTTACTCAAGCACCCCTTTGCAACTTACTCAAGCACCTCTCTGCAACCCTTACCCCGCCTTTTCATCCCCGTCTTCCATTGCGTCATGTTTTTCCTGCATATATGCTTTCTTATTGTCCACCCACTTCTAGCAAATCCTGCCTTTCCAGTCCCCTTTTTCTTACACACACTCCAACTTTTATCTCTTCCCACCTATCCATTCTGCTTGGAATAGCCTGGTTTTTGTGGTTCTCGTTCCACCTTTCAGTGTACCCAAGCTTTTCCTTAACCATGCCTTTCACTGTGTAATAATATGTTTGCTGTTTTCTGTCATCTTACAACCCACGAAGACACCGTTGGAGCGCTCATCCTCTGCTTCCTCCTCTACCACTCGTGTCTCCTCATCATCACATCCCTGAAGACAGTCGCTTCGTTGCTATCGTAGTTAGCTTGTCAACGGATGGGCTTTGAGACAGCAAGCGATAATTGGATAGGGTTGGAGCAGCCGAGTCCTCATGGTTGTGCTTGGCATGGAAGGGGGGTATGATTATGATAGCCAGCCATATCACTGTGGATAAAATGGGAGCAGCAGCCCACATGAGCCTGCTTGCGCTTGATCACTGAACATGCAACCATATAGTCGGATACAATGGAGTAACTCAAGTGAGCTTACCCGTTTGACTTGTGCCTCTCTCGCATATGGCCCTGTGCCTCTCATATATGGCCCCTTTTTGTATCATTTTCACTCAATGCCGTACTCTCATTTCTTAGAATCTGGAGCAGGCTTCGCTGCAAACGGGGCTGATATATCGAGTACGCCTGGTGGTCCTTGTTCCTTCGCCAACTGCAACCTGCTGTAAAGGCTACATGCCCAACACGCATCTGACGCGGGGAGGCACTAACTGTGATTTGGCGTTGGTAGTCTGTTCGACTTTTGTCGGGCATTGTTAAAATGAGTGTAGACCACTAGCGTATGCCCAACAAATTACAAGCAAACAACACTCAAACTACCGTAAGGGATCTTGAAGAAGGGTTTGACCAACATTTGGTTGCCAAATTGAACAGACACAGACTCTATTGTACTATACTAGATGTCATTTTGTACCCATTGCCCTCGAACAGGATGTCTTGAAGACACAGGAGATCACAGGGAGATCGCAGCTACAAGCAGAAGCGGGACCTGGTGGTTTGAAGATCATGGGATTTAACTCTTTAACCACATAGCTCTCTCACTGCATTGCACACCAACACCCTGCCACAGGAAGGAACCACCCTTTACTTGCTCCTCACTCGACCCATCACCCTCTTTTTCTCCCCTGCATAACCTTCACTCTTTCCCACCAGTCTCCTTCTCTTCCACAAACATCTCCCTCCCCCAACTCTTTAAACGCCCCTCCCACTCCTCTAAACGCCCCTCCCACTCCTCTAAACGCCCCTCCCAATCCTCTAAACGCCTCTCCCAATCCTTTAAATGCCTCACTCTCTCCCCCTCCTCTGCCTCAAGGTCCTCTGACACATTCCTTTCCTGCATAAGCCAATACAGTAAAAGGAAAACAGGCATGCAGAAGACAATCGGACCGGCAAGCAAACAACACAACGAAGCAAATGCCAACGATACAACGGAAAAATCAAGTGAGGATTGCGGTAACTGGCAGTGAAGCGAACCGTGAGTGCAGTGAAGCGGGCTGTGAGTGGCAGTGGAGCGGGCTGTGAGTGGCAGTGGAGCGGGCTGTGAGTGGCGGTGGAGCGGGCTGTGAATGGCGGTGGAGCGGGCTGTGAATGGCGGTGGAGCGGGCTGTGAGTGGCAGTGGAGCGGGCTGTGAGTGGCCGTGGAGCGGGCTGTGAGTGGCAGTGGAGCGGGCTGTGAGTGGCCGTGGAGCGGGCTGTGAGTGGCAGTGGAGCGGGCTGTGAGTGGCAGTGAAACGGGCTGTGGGTGGCAGTGGGGCGGACTGTGAGTGGCAGTGGAACGGGCTGTGAGTGGCAGTGGAGCGGGCTGTGAGTGGCAGTGGAGCGGGCTGTGAGTGGCAGTGGAGCGGGCTGTGAGTGGCAGCGGAGCGGGCTGTGAGTGGCGGTGGAGCGGGCTGTGAGTGGCGGTGGAGCGGGCTGTGAGTGGCGGTGGAGCGGGCTGTGAGTGGCGGTGGAGCGGGCTGTGAGTGGCCGTGGAGCGGGTGGAGCGGGCTGTGAGTGGCGGTGGAGCGGGCTGTGAGTGGCGGTGGAGCGGGCTGTGAGTGGCGGTGGAGCGGGCTGTGAGTGGCGGTGGAGCGGGCTGTGAGTGGCAGTGAGGCGGGCTGTGAGTGGCAGTGGAGCGGGCTGTGAGTGGTACTGGAGCGGGCTGTGAGTGGCAGTGAGGCGGGCTGTGAGTGGCAATGAAGCGGGCTGTGAGTGACAGTGTAGCGGAATGTGAGTGGCAGTGTAGCGGGATGTGAGTGGCAATGTAGCGGGCTGTGAGTGACAGTGTAGCGGGATGTGAGTGGCAGCGAAGCGGCCAACAATACAAAGAGAAACTGAATTAATCAGAACACCGGACATACAAACATTTCTAATACTTACTGTGGTGGCTGTCGATGATCCGCATTGCTCTCATCATCGCTGTTGTTGGAAGCAATCCCTTCTGCAACAAAACAAACGAATTTTGATAAAAACGGTGGACATAATTTGTTGCGAACCATCCCCTGCAATTTCCAATCACGCATTAACCTCCCCCTTCTCCACTATCCCCTGCACCACCACCCTCCCACTTACAACGCAGCAATGAAGAGATGCGCCACACTCCTGGACATGCTAGCTCGGCACGCCGAGCTAATGAGCCGAGCACCCGACTTAATACTTCTCCTCATCATGCTCGGCACGCCGAGCTAAAGCTACTACTCTTACCTTCAGTTTGCCGTACTCTTCACGGACAACCTCTTCCCATTTTCGCTCTGGCAGCGACAGAAACCGTTGTGGAACGGCTCGTTCCACCTCAGATCTGCATAAAGAGAAAAGAACAAGCAAAGCGCGCATAAGTAAAGATGCAAAATGAAACGATGTTATGGATGCACTTGTACACACTTACGGTGTCAAACGTGGCGCAGGCAGCCCGCCGAACCTCACAAACAAATGAAGGGCAGCAAGATGTGCCACTTCATTCGCAGAGGGTAAAACCTCGCCTCCCTCAAACCTCTGTCTAGCTCGGCTGTAGCAGAGGTAACGATGGATGGCATCCCGAGCCTCCCACCCACGCTCATCCCACAATTTCAAATGGAGAAACAACCGCTTCTCTAACGCCTGATCCATCTTCGTCTCATGCCTCGCCACCTCAGCCACAACATCCGCCAGCGATGTTGTGTCATCAAAGGCAATGTACTCACCTGCTAAAGAAAGAAACAGAGATAGATAAATTAAGATATCACCCAACCAAAGTTCAGCTAATAGCGTCAGCAGCAGCGTGTACAGTGACAGGGGGAGGACAGGAGAGCGCGACAGCAGCAAAATCCACAACCAGGCGTTTGTGTATTAGCTCAAGCCTTCACACACCTATACAGTTAAAAAGCTTCTCACATGCTGTGAACTTTTCGCCGTTCTCTGCTGTGAATGTGCACGCCTTCTCCACATGAAGAGCAAACGCCCGCCAATCCAATTCGCCGAAAGTGGGCGCCACTTTCTGTTCCATCATGGCACAACAGAACATAGACAAAAACATAGACAATGTATAAAGTTAGTACAAAGGGAGAGACTTCGGAAAAACAAACAAATGTGCTTCACATAGCAGCACATGACAGTAATAGCAACACAGCAAAAAGCAGCAGCACAAAATTTAGACACCACTCGTCATACTCACCTCCACTACTTGGCCAGCAGTCACTTGATTGGCAATCAACGAGATAACCTCCCTGTCACTCGAAACCACTTGTTCAGTCATCTGCAAACATAACGCCATAGGAAGAAGGGGGAAAGGGGGGTGAAAATGCTATCACGTCTCACCACCTCCTCATGCTGCACTACCACTCTCCCACACCATACCCTACACCACCACCCTCCCCTCCCATTTACCCTTTTTCTCCCACCCTCCTCGCTGCACTACCACCCTCTCACACCATCCCCCGCACATACCACCCTCCCCCCACTTACCCTCTTCCCCCGGCCTCCTTGCTGCGCTACCACCTTCCCACACCATACCCCGCACACACCACCATCCCCCCCACTTTCCCTTCTTCCCCCTCCCTCCTCCCTGCATTATTACCCTCCCACATCATACCCCGCACAAACCCTCCCCCCACTTACCCTTCTTCCCCCGCCATCCTTGCTGCACTACCATCCTCCCACACCATACCCCGCATACACCACCCTCTCCCCCAATTACACTTCTTCCCCTACACTGCCACCCTCCCACACCATACCCCGCAGGCACCACCTAAGTTGGAATATACGCTTGAATTTGTAAGCATACTGCGTTTGTACGCTAGCGTATACACGCAAAAACGCAAAACGCTAGATGTACGCTTCGATATATTGCGGGCAGCCCGGGCGAAAAAAAAAAAAACAAAAGTTGCAAATTTCGAGTTCGCGATTCGCACACCATTGTTCGCACGTCGCGGACACCAATGAACTCCCAAATTTCAAAATTTGAAAGCTACACATGTTCCTACCGCATTCAACCCCAGCTTATCTCTCTCACTTCCAACCCATCAGTCCACCAGCAAAGCTGCTCACGGCTATAGAAGGTGAGCTTTCTCCACCCAATTTTCATTCGCTATTGTTCTACTCCACTTTCAGCGCTTTCTACCTCCAGCTCTCAGAGTTTTCTAGCCACAGCTACCATGTCTACTCCAACTTCCACTCCCGCGAGTGGAACCGCTGGTGCGGATGCAAGCGCCGAGGCCTCCACCGCGCAGGAGTTTCAGCCCGATACCAACCACGTGGTGTTCAAGCACTTTCGCGTCCCCATCCGCGAGGGCGTGAAGGGCGTTCCGCGCATTTGCAAGCATTGCAAGCTGGAGTTCGTCGGCGGAGCCTACCGCTGCGCGCAGCACATCGTCACCTGGAAGGGCATGCGTCGCCGCGAGGTGCGCCTCTGCAATGCTGCTCCTTCAACGGCCCGCAACGAAATCCGTGCTCTTTACGAGAAGAAGCATTCCTCTCGCGACTTCAAGCGGCAGGCGGAGGAGTTCGCCCTGGAGGCTGTTTCTGGACGCGCGAAACAAGCCCGCATCAGCGACACCTATGGCGACGCGGCTGCTTGCGCGAAGACAGATGCGGACGACGCCATCTGCCTTTTGTGGGCCGGCCTGCGCCTGCCGGAGCACCACGCGGACCACGTTTTGTGGCGGAGCGCTGTCCGTTGCATCAACAACGCGCCAAAAGGTTACGTTCCCCCTCGTCGCCGCTACGTCGGAGGTGCGGGATTGCAGAAGACCCGCAAGAGGATTGAGCAAGGCCTTTCCCCGATCGTCGCCAGCTGGAAGCGTGACGGTGTCACGCTCTCGTCCGACATCATGACCGACAAGAATGGCCGCCCCCAGGCCAACGTCTTGCTCATCAACGACTACGGCGCGGTCTTCACCGAGAGCGTCGATTGCAAGCTGGAGCAGAAGACGGGGTCCTACATCGCCAGCGTCCTCCGCCCCATTGTGAAGAAAGTTGGCCCCGAGCACGTGGTGTCTCTCTGCGTGGACGGCGGGAGCAATTACGCAAGCGCCTTCAAGGAGTTGGCGCTTGAGTGGCCCCACATTGAGTTCGTGCCGTGCGCGACGCACGTCATGGACCTGCTCATGGAGGATGTGGGGCGGATGGATTGGGCAAAGAACGTCGTGGAGCGGGCCAACGAGATCATCACCTACGTGCACAGCCATCACTTCACCCGCGGGTACCTGAGGAGCCCGCAAGTGCAGGGGGGAAAAGGGAAGCAAGTGCTGAAGCCGGCGGGCACAAGGTTTGGCACGCAGTTTATTGCTGTTTCTCGGCTTTGTGAGGTGCGGGTCTCTCTCGTGCAGATGGTGCTGAGCGAGGATTGGGTGGAGTTTGCGAAAACAAGGAAAGAAGGCACCGCCAGCTTCAAGTCCAACATCATGGATGACCCGTGGTGGAAGAAGGCTTCTTACTTCAGCGCATTGTTGAAGCTGCCGTTCGTCGTGATGCGCGCCACCGACTCAACCAAGAAAGGCATGATGGGGCGCATCTACGACATGATGCTTCAACTCACTGAAGATGTGAACGCCAAGCTTGAAGAGGCGGACGAGGTGCTGACCCGGGCTGACAAGACGGAGATTACCAAGATCGTGGGCCGCCGCTGGGATGGGAGCATGGCATGTGCCATGCATGTTGTGGGGCGGATCCTGAACCCCCTCAACCAAGAGGAAGGCATCTTCCGCAGCGACTTGGAGTGCACCCGCATCTTCAAGTCTTACATCAACCGCCACTACGACGGCATCACCATCACGCGGAAGGATGGCGAGGAGCGCCGGGCCGCCCATGTCCTGCAGGAGGGGCTGGAGGCATTCATGACGCTTCAGGGAAGTTTCGGCCTGCCTGAGGCGATTTCTGACCGTGAGCTCGTCAGGGCAGGGAAGAAGACCATGGTCCAGTGGTGGACCTGGCACGGCACCGACAACCCAGAGCTAACTGCCCTGGCTTGCCGGGTCCTCTCCCAGCCCGTTTCCGCAGCTGCATGCGAGCGGAATTGGGCTATGTGGGACGCTGTCCACACCGCACGGCGCAACAGGTTGGGGTCTGAAAAATGCCGCGACCTAGTGTTTGTTGCGCACAATTGGAACATTGTGCACAACTGGCACAAGGCCGAGGAGGGGATGGGGGCATTGCCGGGGAACATTCCGGAGCCTCCCATCCCTGAGGGGTACAAGGAAGATCGGGAGGAGGAGGTGGAGGAGGGGGAGGATGACGTGATGCAGGATGAGTATGTTGAGTAGAAAGGGGCGTGGGCAGCAGAGAGGTAAGGAGTACGAGTGGGATAGTATAAGGCTGGATTTGCAAAGGATGAGGGAGGGAAGGGAGGGGGTATGATGGGGAGACGGTAGTTGCTCTTTGTGGGAGTAGTTGGGCATTGAAGGGGGTGCAGGCCACCTGGAATTTGCTATGTATTTGCATGTTATTTAATGGGAAAAAAAATCTGGGGAGGGAAGAGGTATGGGTGATAAGTGCCGACTCCCCCTCCCCTCTCCAGAACCTTTTTTTTACCCTGCCCGGGAAAGTTTTTCCCCTGCCCGGACCACCGTATTTCCAGCGTATATCAAAGCCTTCTCTGGACGTATTGCGTACTATACTCTAGCGTATACACGCGTGCGTACAAAACTCAAAACGCGTATATTCCAACTTTGCGCACCACCGCCCTCTCTCCCACTTACCCACCCTCCACCGCACCACCGCCCTCCCCCCACTTACCCACCCTCCACCGCATCACCGCCCTCCCTCCCACTTACCCCTCCCACTTACCACCCTCCACCGCACCACCGCCCGCCCCCACTTACCCACCCTCCACCGGACCGCCCACCCGCCCTCCCACTTACCCACCCTCCACCGCACCACCGCTCGCCCGCCCTCCCACTTACCCACCCTCCACCGCACCACCGCCCGCCCGCCCTCCCATTTACCCACCCTCCACCGCACCACAGCCCTCCCTCCCACATACCCACCCTCCACCGCACCACCGCCCTCCCTCCCACTTACCCACCCTCCACCGCACCACCGCCCTCCCTCCCACTTACCCACGCTCCACCGCACCAGCGCCCTCCCTCCCACTTACCCACGCTCCACCGCACCAGCGCCCTCCCTCCCACTTACCCACCCTCCATCGCACCACCGCCTTCCCTCCCACTTACCCACCCTCCACCGCACCACCGATCTCCCTCCCACTTACCCACCTTCCATCGCACCACCGCCCTCACTCCCACTTACCCACCCTCCACCGCACCACCGCTCTCCCCCCACTTACCCACGCTCCACCGCACCACCGCCCTCCCTCCCACTTACCCACGCTCCACCGCACCACCGCCCTCCCTCCCTCTTTCCCACCGTCCACCGCACCACCGCCCTCCTCCCCACTTTCCCACCCCTACACCGCACCACCGCCCTCCCTCCCACTTACCCACCCTCCACCGCACCACTGCCCTCCCTCCCACTTACCCACCCTCCACCGCACCACTGCCCTCCCTCCCACTTACCCACCCTCCCACTTACCCAACCTCCATCACCACCGCCTCACTCCCACTTACCCACCCTCCACCGCACCACCGCCACTTACCCACCCTCCCACCCACTTACCAAGATATTTGGAGTTGAATCTTCAGCTCGGGGCGATTTCTCCGGCGTGCGGGGAGATTTCTCCGGCGTGCGGGGAGATTTCTCCGGCGTGTGCGGCTCTCTCCCCGGCGCGCGCGGCGCGCCCTTTTTCGAGTCAAACAGAGACAAAAAAAAAAAACAAACAGGGCGGGGCTCGTCATCTTAACAGAGACAAAAAAAAAAAAAAAAGGGCGGGGCTTCTTGCGTTTCTTAACTCGTCAAACAAAAGAATGGATCAAAAATTGAAAGGGCGAGAACGTGCTCGAGCCCGCACGCTTCTCGATCTAGCCCCCCACGCTGCTCTAGCCCCCACGCAGCCGCCCTCCCAGTGGGTTGTAGTACCTCAATGTCCAAGGGTGGAATTCGAGTGGGTGGCGCTTCCTTCGACGCTCGCGATTTCCTCGTCGCGCGTCTCCTCTGCGAGCGCGACAGGCCTTCCGGCGTCGACGTCGACGTCAAGGGCGGGATATGAAACGTAGAGGATTGAGACGCGGACCTTAATGTTGAAGGTGGCGTACTATAAATCGTGAATTGAGTCGCGGAGCTTGTTGATGGAGTACTCATCTCCTCTTGTTGAAAGAATAAACCTGGAGTTCCAAACAGCTCAAGACTATCTCGACCTTCCTAACGTTGGGAGTAGTCTGGCAGATGACACTAAACTACGCGAGTTGTGGGTAGAGACTTTCACGACCCGAGATCACTCTACTCAGAAGGACGACGGCAGTGACGATTTCGCTCACTGAAGTTGCTGCTAATAAGTCGCTGAGAATTGCCATGCTCTGCACCCTCACAAACCGCACTCAATCTTAGATGAACCGAACCCCGCCTTCCTCTTTCGCCCCAGTAGTCCAATTGTGTGGAGGGTCACAGAGGAAACTGGCTCGGTCAGCAGGGGTGTTGTTCTGCAGGCGTTATTGGCGCCGCACCAATTTGACCGCCGTAGCCTTCTCCGTAATTTCTAGGCGCATTCACGCTGGTTGCGTCGCACGGAAATTGCTGCCCCGCATAACTTGTGCGGAGGCTGATGCTAGCTCCCGAGGTAGAATCAGCACCGCACAAGTTGTGCGACCATTTGCCCGGCGAAGCAACAACTTCGAACCTGTAGACGACTAAATTTGTGCGCCCTAAAAGTGGTGTTCTGCAGGCGAGAGCGTTAAATTTGGCGCGAACAGGTTTGGCAGGACTTCGCTTATCACCAAACCTTGATAAGCTGAAACCCACTTATCGGCGAAGATTCGGCGGACCCAGTTTTTCGAGATTTAACGCCTGCAGAACAGCGCCAGGGAGTTGTAAATCAGAAGATTTGCTCTGGCAGCGACGAGATGACGAGATGACGGAGAAAAGCACTTGGTCAGGTCGCCCATTTTCGTTGGCAACGAGGTCGCCCATTTCGTTCGCAACGAGGTCGCCTATTTCGTTGGCAACGACGCGGCCCATTTCGTTGGCAACGACGCGGCCCATTTCGTTCGCAACGAGGTCGGCCATTTCGTTGGCAACGAGGTCGCCCATTTCGTTGGCAACGAGGTCGTCCATTTCGTTCGCAACGAGGTCGCCCATTTCGTTGGCAACGAGGTCGCCCATTTCGTTGGCAACGAGGTCGCCCATTTCGTTGGCAACGAGGTCGCCCATTTCGTTCGCAACGAGGTCGCCCATTCCGTTGGCAACAAGGTTCCGGCCCTGTTCGGTAGCCCCCTACCCACACTGAGCCAATGACACATTTCAGTTGCGGAGAAGGGAAAGTGTGAGAGGCGCCTTAGTGAGGTGTCTCGTATTAGTGACTACTACGAAGCAGCCGACTGCTTGAGGCTCTGCGGCACCGCACCGCCTTCGATCCCTCTGTCTACCAGGGATCCCTCCAGGCAGTGCGTTGTATTTACCGCGTACAGTTTCTGGTCAGATTCATCGCAGCTTCCTACTCTGACGATTTTTTTCTCCTGCATTGATAAATAGTGCGATTTCCGGACGCTGCTGGTAACATAGTAAATTATAGCATCATTTTACATTGCCGCGATTACACGAAATTCTGGTCGTCATGGAGTCGGTTCTCGCGCGTCCACCTATCGTTACGGTGCAGAACTCAATCCGAGGCCTTGACGCCGCGAACTCGCATCGCCAGCAACCAATCCTGCACAACGTCGCACACAATGTTGTACGCAGTGTCGCGAATGTCGCGAATGTCGCCACGTTAGGTCCAACGTTCACGAAAAGTATGATCAGGCCTTCGCCGTTAGGACGGAAGTTGGCCTCTCCGTTTTTTTCGGCATCTCGCAGTCGCCAGCGGAGCGCCGTCGCTCCTCGCGCTGCCTCGGACAAACCTAGGGAGGTAAGTGCTCTGTGTGTTATTCCGTGTCAGTTTAGGCGCACTTTATGCCACTCTATGTCAAGCTGCGCCATTCCGTGTCACCTTATGTCATGCATGTCAGTTTATGGCGTTCCATCATGTCACTTTATGGCATTAGCCAATCTGTGTCAGTCTGTAATATTCCATTGTCCTTTCTGTCATTCTGTCTCAGCTGAGGTCCATTCCGTGGCATTCTCCCTGTCATTCCCTCTCATTCTCTGTCATTCCATTTCATTCCCTGCCATCCCCTGCCATGGTTCCAACCCCCTTACTTCCACATCCGTCCCCGCCCATTTCTCACCTTCTTACCCTCATCGATGCAGGCATACAACGACAGCACCGCACTCCAGCCAGCAGACTCGCCTCCACTGAACTCCAAACCCACCGTTACCACTTCAACACCCATCCCCACCTCTCCCGCGCCACCTCCGCTCAGCCTCTCCTCTCTCCTCCCCTCTCCGCTCCCTCGCGCCATCCTCCTCCCTCTACTCGCGGCGGCCATAGCTGCAGCCACGTTCTTCTCCTCCCTCTCCTGGCGCCTGGGAAAAGGAGGGGGTGCTCCCTTCGCCGCTCTGCTGCGCTCTCCCGCTGCTGTCGCTGCCACCAACCAGGTGAGTGAAGTGGGTTTTGAGTCGACTCAAAAGCCATCCTGGTGCCTGGACAGCAGAGGCGGTGCTAACCTCTTCGCGGATCTGCTGCGCCCTCCGCCTGCCGCCGCTGCCACCAACCAGGTTAGAGGGGATGAGCGGAATCAGAGAGAAGGCGACCCATTGAGAGACGGCAACTCTATCGTTAGCTTGCTTCCGATCCTTTTCCTCGCATTCACTCCGCCCCCTCCCTCCCGCCCCTCCGTCCGCTCCCCCAACCACTCTCCACCCATCTCAGATCGTGCTGACCCCGCCCCCACCCGGCACAGCCAGTCCAGCGGCGCTCAAGTCACCCCAGCAGCGAGCAGGCATCACCGACAAGGCCCTCTACGCCATCGACCTCTTCCTCACCACTGAACCCTCGGGGAAGGTGAGCAGGGCAGAGCGATGAAAGGACGGTAAAGGCTCCCTTGGTGCGTTCTGTCTTGATAGGAATCACCCCTCAACTCCTTCTCTTGCTATCTATCAAGAGCACCCTCAAAACTTTACCTGAGTGCTTTTTAATTCATTCTGCCTTGGTTTGCTTCGTGCCTTTCCCTCTAATCTTCTTCCCTTCCACTTCCAGCCCCTCCTCCCCTGTTCCGTTCCCCCCCTCCCACTCGCTGTGCCCATCTCACGTTGTGTAAATCATTTCCACACCACCCGCATCTACCCTTTTCCCTCTCCTCCCGCCTCTCCCCTCACCCCCCACCCCACCCCCTTTACCACCAGCTCCTGCTGCTCTCTGTCCTCTGGGTGGCCCTCATGCTGCTGGGAGCCTCTGGCTTCAATTTCTGGGATGTCTAAGCAGCCTCAAACACCTCTCTCCTTCCCCCCATCCTTCCCCTTCCCCCTTCCCCCTTTCCCACCAGCTGCTGCTGCTCTCTGTCCTCTGGGTGGCCCTCATGCTGCTGGGAGCCGGAGCCTTCATCGCCGCGGCCAAGGCGACCAATGAGGAGGTGCCATTTGGCGAGGCCGTGTGGGTCTCGTGGACCATGCTGTCAGACCCGGGCCAGCAGGGCGCTCAGGTGAGCCGGTGGGGTGGAGAAGTGTGGAGAGGGATGGAATGGGGTTGCTTTCATGCCTGCAGGCTACACCCCAAGCTGTATGTGTGCCTGCCTGCCTGCCTTTTTCACGCAGTCTGCATGGCAATGGCCTAGATGAGCCGTGTGGGTCTCCTCTCGTGCACCATGCTGTCAGACCCGGGCCAGCAGGGCGCTCAGGTGAGCCGGTGGGGTGGATATGTGCGAAACTGCCCGCCTTCCTCCCTGCCTGCCTGCCCGCCTGCCCGCATTCCCGCATGCCTGTCTGCCTACTTGCCTTGGTGCCTGCCTGCCCCCCTGCCTATGTCACACAGTGTGCTTTGCAATGGACCATGCTGTCAGACCTGGGCCAACGTCATTCCTTCACATCCCCCCCTTCCTCCACCTCTCCCCACCCAGGACTCGATATGGAAGCGGGTTCTGGCAGTGGTGCTTACAATAAAGGGGCTGCTGCTGCTGGCGCTGCTGGTGGGTCTGGCGACTGATGGAGTGGCGAAGCAGGTGGACGACCTGAACAAGGGCAAGGGGGCCGTCATGGAGAGAGGACACGTGCTGGTCGTGGGTGAGTGGCTAGTATCAGTAGTTGCTGGTGGTGTGATTTGCAATGAGTGCACCATCCCGCTGGTGCAGCAGCTGGTGGGGGCGGATGGCAGTCGGGCAGTGGTGGTGCTGTGTGGCCAACAATGGCACCCAATCCCCCCACACGTTCCTTTTTCTCTGTCCCCAACCCCCGCCCTCCCCTCTCTCTTCCCCCTCTCCCCAATCCCAGGCTGGACCCCGCGCACCATCCCGCTGGTGCAGCAGCTGGTGGGGGCGGATGGCAGTCGGGCAGTGGTGGTGCTGGCGGGGGGCAAGGGCAAGGAGGAGATGGACAGCGCGCTGCTGGACGCCATTCCCAAGAGCGAGAGGCACAAGGCAGGCGGCGGGCAGATTGTGACGCGCACTGGCTCGCCCTTCCACTCGGAGGACTTGGCGCGCTGTGCTGCGGACGCTGCGCGCTCCATTGTGCTGCTCTCCCCGCCCGTCTCCGACCCCTCCCAAGCCGACGCCTTTGTGAGTCTATGTGGTGTGACACGGTATCGTGAGGTGTGGAGC